CTGATTTGACATCAATATGGAAAGAACTTGATCACTATCAGAATGTGAATTGGAAGTGTGATGAAAATGCAAAGGCCTATAAGGCACTTATATCTCAGCAACGAGTGTTTGCCTTCCTCCTAGGGCTGAATCCTTCGTATGAGTCCATCAGGGTGTAGATCTTGGGTAGTAAAGACTTGCCATCAGTTCAGGAGGTGTATGCCTTGGTGTAGTCAGAAGAAATAAGAAGAAGTGTGATGAATGGTGTAGAAGGGGAGTCAGTTGCCCTAGATATCCAGGGAAATTCAGATACAAATGTCGGAGGTGGTTTTAAAAAAGGTGACACTCAAAAAAAAACAGATGATAAGAGCAAACTTTGGTGCACTCACTGCCAGAAGACACGACACACGAAAGATACATGTCGGGATCTCCATGGAAAACCTAAATGGGCACAGGATTTGGGTAAGAAGTCAACACCTGATCAGGGCAAGAAACCAGGCCAGCAAAATAAAAAAAGGTATAATTCAGCTAATATGGCATCAACAGAGACTAGTCCTTTGGTAACTCAGGAGAGGCATCCCAGTTCTGACCCTAAGGAAGATACTATCAACTCCTTTCGTGAACATTTGGAATTGTATGATAGGACTCTCCACCAGATGGATTCTAGTCCTACTCCCTCTACCTCGTTTGCGTCTACATCAGGTAATGCCACAGCCTTCCATGTGTCATCTCATACTACTGATTCTCCTTGGATTATTGACTCCGGAGATTCAAACTACATGACCGGTAAGTCAAATTTGTTTCAGACATATAACCTTCTCTCTAGGAGAGATAAGGTAAGACTGGCTGATGGTTCTTTTTCTACCATAGGTGGCCGAGGTACCATACCTCTCCCACTTGGCCTTACCCTTCCTAATATACTGCATGTTCCGAAATTACCTATTAATTTGTTGTCTATTAGTAGTCTGACTCACTCCTTGAATTGCTCAGTCACTTTTTTTCTGTCTTCATGTGTGTTTCAGGATTTGACCTCGGGGAAGACGATTGGTAGAGGAAGCATGGTGGATCGTCTCTACGTGTTGGAGAATAATGTTGGTCTAGTGGCGACAGAGTCCATGAGTTCGTCAATTGAGAGTCAAGCCTATTTATGGCATAGTCGTTTAGGTCATATTTCTTTTGAGTCGTTAAAAGTTATGTTTCCAAAGTTGTTTGAGTCCTTGTCARYGAGTCAGTTAYAGTGTCAAACTTGTCARTTGAGTAAGCATTGTAGAAGTTCTTTACCTTTACGAAATAAAAGATCTGAATTTCCATTTCATATTGTTTATTCTGATGTTTGGGGCCCTGTTAC